CCCCCCCCCCCCCCCCAGCTCCTATGTTTAACAACTCTCGTGCTAGTAAAAGAACTAAATATTAAAGTAAAAGTTTTAAACAATCCAGCCAAAATTTAATATGATTATTGGATGAGTCACGAGAACTATTCATCGATCCAAAAGTCAATAACAATGCCGACTCAACTCAATGTACCTAAAGTTCAGGAAATGTGAAAATAATTCTGACTAACAAGGAATATAGCTACAGTTTGTCCCATTAGAAAGGAAAGTGAACATAATGATTAACTCTATTGCAGCAGTCTGAGGGTAAGCCTCTTGTTGTCTAACTTTCATGCAGCAAATAAGTTTAGCATTAAGAAGCTAATAATATTTATTCTATCAGGTAGATTGGGACAAAACTAATGATAAGAATGTAGGTGCTAGAGTCCCGTTTAGTGTGTGTTTGGTTTAAATTTTTAACGTGATTTATTTTATCACGCCAAAACTACTAGGTGTAGCTTTCGCATCATGATCATTATTTTATGATTCAATTTACGTTTTGGACTTGTGTTCAAACACGTACTTAATAAGCCGGCCTTTTAGATTGGATCTTTCTCGTGAGTACTAACAGTAGGAGAAAACAATGACATTTATATGTCCCAAAACCCAGAACCTAAGAATCAATCATTAGTGTCTAGGTTTAGTCTCTGTAGAATATTGCGAAATGGCAATATATAGACGAGACATTATTGAATTTAGTCAGCAAATTCCAAATTGCGGCAGTTATTATCTTGCGCAATTCAAACTTGTGATGGGGACATCTTCAGGCTAATTGATGATAATTATTTCTAACTCAACCATGGAAGACCATATAATGCAAAGATTTGTGTAAACCAGTTATCCAGTAGAAGAACCCTAACGGGAAAGACCGACAAAAATTGGGAGCTTCTTAATCATAAAATTATTGCTATAATTGAAAATATATTGACAGAATTTTGTTCAAACGTGTATCTACTTATACCAATGCATATGAGTTGTGAATGTAACTTAAATCTTAGATTCAAAAGAAGACTCTCAAGAACAAAGTTTATCTTGTTAGATGATTGGTAAAGTTAGATTATATAAACATTCAAACCATGATCGAACATTTGATTACCTTCAAAGGAATGTTAATCAGCTGACAAAGGTAGAAATGAAAAAAGAAAGGATGATGAATTACAAATTCTTTGGCTACTCACTTCTCTGCCTAATAGTTGGGAGTTGGATAGTTATCATGGATTAACACTATTAGATGAAAGGCTAACATGGATGCTGTAACAGACAGTTTGCTAAATAATGAGTCAAGATGAAAGGAAAAAAGGCTTAATGAATCAATCTAAGCCAATCTTGTTGAAAATTGAGGAAGGGTGAGCAATACAGCCGAGGTCATGGGAAATCGGTTAGGATGATAAATCAATTTGATGCTTGCAAATGCGAACATAGTAGAAGAAGCATGATTGTTGCTAATGGGAAAAAAACACATCATGATGAGAAAGATATGCAAAGGAGAGACAAATGTTACTAAGGATGCAACCAAAGAATTATAACATAGACCATTAATAAGAGAGTGATAATGGTTTGGAAATAACCCCCCCTCTTCCAGCCCCAAAAAAAGACATCATTTTTCAAATGTAAAGGGGTTGCTACTTACATTCTATAAAGACTACCTACCAAGCAAACAACATAGAAGATCCTTCAAAGACCAGAAAGAAGAAACCAAATTTTGGAATTTGTCCATTCAAAGGTTTGCTTAAAGCACGAAAAGTTCTTTGATGGTGCCCACTATTTTGATACCTTAGTTGATAACTAGTCTAAGAAGGTATGTATGTATCCATTAAAGACGGAAATTATTCAAGCTTTCGAAGTTATTTTTGGTTCAACCTTACTTTTTTCTTAGAAGCTTGATCAATTATAGACTACTCATAAAATAGATTAAGTCTGCCAAATTTTACGCAATTAAAAAATTAATACTTCAAACATATGATATAATATTTGAAGTATAAGTAAATAATTGCTATCGAATTACATATCCGAGAATGTCTAAATTATGTAAAATTGTATACATCTCAACACAATGGATCACATGAGTCAATGATTAGATTTATCAAATTCATTTATGATAAAAAAAAATTACTAGAGGTATCATTTTATTAAGACAATATTTGATTCAATTTTTTTTTCTTAAAAGTTACCTTAAAAATAAGTTTCAAAATAAGAGCTTTAGAATCAAAGTAGAAGTTGTTTAACCGAGAAAAAAAGGAGAAGACATGAGAAGGAGGAGTGAGAGAGAACAGTAAGAAAGAGAGCGGGAGGAGAGAGAACATAGCAGAGATAGAACAAGGTGAGAAAGTGAGAGAGCTGGGACAGAGAGAAGAAAAGCCAAATGTTATTTTAAAAGTTCCTTTTTCAAAAAGCTACGTTTTTTTTTTTATAAAAGTTATTCTAGTTAATTTTTAAGAAATTTTCAAAAATTGTGTTTACCCAGCATCTCATTTTAAAGATTAAAAAAAAAAGTATAAAAAAACTGAATGAAACACCACCCAAGTTTTAATAGCTGGTGTATAAATAACTTATAGTTTAGATGCCTTTTATTTAATTCTCGATAGATGCATTTTCCCGTTGTCATCACTTACCAGCTTCCTCAATTAGTGTGTTATCTAACGACACGACACCCAACCTCGGACCATTTCCAAGTAACAGGACAAATTAGAAGGTTTTCAACACGTGCTCAGTTCTCCTTATTTAACTCTCTCACATGTCCCTTATCAGGCAGCTAATGCAACGAGTTTCTGTATCTACACGTTTTTTTTCTTTCTTTTAATGACTTATTTATGGTGACACTAGAAAGGAGATTATCATTGTACAGGAGCATAGATTATTACAATAATCACAGGGTTCACATGATCCAAATCATTTTGGGAACAATCCCTAATTACTAGACGATTATAGTCGTTTGCATCGTTTATTGCCTCATAGCAAGAGATTATTGGCCATATTATTGTTGAAAGGAACTTGGTGCCTTAATCAATAGTTCAAAAGAAGAAATCATGTCGCGCAATGTCTTAAAACCTAAGATTGGATATGAAGATAAATCAAGGTACCTATGGCCCTGGACATGGCAAGAACACCAAACACCCTAGCTCCATTCCAGTTTATGACTTTTCCTCCACCTCCTTCAATTCTCAAGAGTTCATCTTGTCTATCCGGCTGTACAAACAAGGACAATGGTATCTCAATTCCGTTAATGAAATTAAAACGAGGGAGTACAAAATACCTTTAATAACATAATTTAATTATAATATTATATATTTTATACAAAAACTTAAAAATCAATATATACAATTTTTTAAAGATGTATTTTAGAGTTACCCTCCTTACATCCGTCCCTTGTTTCGAACATGGCTGCATAGGCGAGTTTTTTCTTTTTTATTTTCAAAGATCCCTTCTCATTAGTTACAATTATCTGAAAATTTCCAAAGCAGTACAGGTGAACTGCTTTTATCTTTTTATTTACGCATTAGTTGACAATAAACTTGTCTTCTATACACATGAAAATTAAAGAATGCATGACAGAAAAAGATAATTTGGCATTATCTGTTGCATAATTTTCCATTTTCAAGAAACCTTAAACGAAACACATGACCATATATGGTCGAAGTTAAATCAAAGTACGAAGATATGTGGGTAATGACTAGACCTTACCTTCTGATCCACTGTTAGGGGGATTGTTTGTGTCCTGCGGCAAAGAACTACCCTTGAGTCGCCGCAGTTGGATGTAATAATTTGGCAACCAGATAGAACCACTACAGAGGCAGTAGATCCTACCATTTCTGGTGCAACTGTGTCAGATAGGATTTCATTGTCAGTCCTGTCAAAACTGTTAGCAAATACGGTTTCCCATCTTCTCTGCCATTCAGCTGCACTTGCCATTTCTCGGTCCCACTCCTCTGCTATAACATCGTGCATTCGCTTGGCACAAAACTTAGCCACCTAGGATGAAATTACCACATATGTTAGGAGTATGGTAAACTACCACGATATGCTCATGGTAAACTACTGATCTTTATTTAACCAAATCAAACGAATCCAGTTGAACAAATTATCACAACATTTTAAGTTTATCCTTATTTAAAGTCAAATTTTACTGTCATATATCAATTGTAGAGATATTAGAAAAGTTTGCTAGTCATGAAGGGTTAAAAAAATAAATACTTAACAATTTGTAATGAGTCCTGTATTAATGACGACGTTCAAATATTTCTAGAAGGGATCTTATAAAAAGGGTATGAGAGAGTGTTAACTTCATCTGGACGGCCAGATACTTCCTGGCTAGATTTTTGTGTTTATGAATACCAAATTTGACATGCGTTCGACTAGAATCAAAGATCACACACAACACAACTCACCTGTTTCCCATACACTTCAAATACAAAATAACGATATGGCTACACCACAGAGTAGCATACAAAGATACTAGAGAATTGTAGAGAATAGAGATGATGCTTTCCGTGATTCAGAGTTTGAAATACATAAAAACGGGTGCAGTTAAATGACCTTTTGTTGACAGTTCCATAGTAGACGTTTACTTTTTTTATTTAAAGATTAGTCCTAAACGTCACATATGATACGATGATCGGCTTCATGTAACTAAACAACACCAAAGGTGTTTCGAGAATGACAATATTCTGGTGAAAAAGAATCCCTAAAATTAAAATGAAAAATTGTTAACTAAAGCATGAATCTTATCTGCAGAGAAGTGTGGATAGCATAAATCTTTCTTCGATAAGAAAGTTCCACATAAACTTTATTTGTTCGGTACCCAACACACAAAATCGTTTTATACATTCGAAGAATAATGTTTTCAACAATTGAGATTAAATCTAGTGACATAAACGATTGTGTTATGCCATTTATTATAATATATATTGGAAATTGGCATTCAGAAGAACATAATATTTTTATGAATAAAGCAGACTAACAACGATCATCATCAGTCAGACCCAACATACTAATATGCCAAAAGTAGTGCCAAGGCGCATAATGAGCGTAGGTCCCACTTACTCACACATGAACAATACACCTTTTCTTTTCGACAAAAAGCTAATCCTTCCATCCTCGTGGCCCAACCTTTCCCCTCCGATCCACCCTCGTTCTCCCTAAGTAGGGTACCGGTGTATGCGAGTTGAATTGGACTCGGTTTAGATGAATTTGCAATCTAATTCATTTAATGAAAATATAAGTAAATTCTAATTAACTTGCCCTTATTTAATATTATAATTTTAAAAGTATTCCTTATATTAAAGTCTAACATACTTTCATTTAATATTTTAGAATGTGTAGAATAAGAGTAATTTCTGAATATAATAATTGTCAATAGTTTTATATGAGAGAAGAAATAAAAGTAATTAAAACTATATCCATTTTCATATACAAGACTCGAGTATTTAATTCATAAGAAGTATAAAAAAAATAATTAATTTAGATGATAATATTAAAATTTTCATATATATATATATATATATATATATATATATATATTAAACTTGGTTTTATAAGACTTCTCTTTCTTAATTAATGTGTATATCGTAATCAACTAAAATGCATATTTTTAAAGAATTTATAATTAATATATCATATAATTAATGTTGTCAATATATCTTAGTTAAATTTAATAAATAAATACGTTTAAAAAAAAACTAGAGAAAAATATTAACTAGTGTCTTTAGAGTCTCATCAAAAAAATTAAGCAATAATTTTTTTAATAAAAGCGCTCTTTCTTAATTAATGTGTATATCGTAATCAACTAAAATGCATATTTTTAAAGAATTTATAATTAATATATCATATAATTAATGTTGTCAATATATCTTAGTTAAATTTAATAAATAAATACGTTTAAAAAAAAACTAGAGAAAAATATTAACTAGTGTCTTTAGAGTCTCATCAAAAAAATTAAGCAATAATTTTTTTAATAAAAGCGTAATAGTTCCCTTCACATGATTTTCAATGCATGTTTTAAATAATTTGTTAAAAAAACACCGGACCTTTTTTGTAACAGAATGTTTTTGTTTTCTAGAATCGAATACTCACCCAAACCCAACTCTTTGAAAACCTTGGAATGGCAGCGGCACAAGGTGATGATTTGTCTGTGATAGAAACCACGTCAGATCTCAGTCACGCTAACTAATCCCATTCTTAATTAGTACAAGTATCTGTCCTAGAAGAGAAAAGGGCCACGCCCCTATTATGCACGGTCTATTTACACGTGTCACACCAAAATGAAAAGCACCGTGAATTTATCTCTCTCCGTATGGACCACTCTGCCTATAACACGTGGCCGTTCTAGGCAACGCACCCACCAACCACATTCCCAGTATAATTCATTCCGATACCATTTTTACAGAAAAATAGCAATAAAAACATTCATACTAATTATAAAATTAATCTTTGCGTAGTCACAATCTTTCAAACTTGAGTATATAATTATAATTTATAAATAAATAATTGAAAGAAGGAGATGTAACCGTACCTGAGAGCCACCGTGGCCGTCGTAAACGCCGAAGAAATGAAGTGGAGCGATCTCACAGGAGGATCTGGAGCCGGGAGCCGTACAACCGCCGACATGATAACAGGTGCGAGACATGAATCCCGGAATAACAGCGACGGCGTCCTCCATCTCCTTCCGCCTCCCAATCACCGAAGTGTGTCCCCAACTCACTCCCTTGTTAGTCCTTCCGACGCACTTGTCCCTGGGCGGCGGCGCGAGAGCCGCGACGGGAGGAATCTCGCCGGAGCCGCTGCTGATGGAGGAAATGTCGCCGGAGCTGGTGAGGTTGCGGAAATCGTCGGTGGAGGAAATGGCGGAGCCGGAACTGGTGGAGGCGAACTCGGAGTGGAATCGTTCGAGTTGCTCGTCCTCCTCCATCGCAAACGGTGTCGTGGTTGAGAGAGCAGACAGAGAAGAGGGGGGAAGAAAAAGAAGCGAGGAGGCGATAAAAGGAGCAGAAAGGAGAGGCGAGACAGCGACACGTGTGAGGAAAATGTAAGTTTTGTTGATGGCACACGCATCTATTGTGAATTGTGAGTGGAGAAAGGAAAAAAAGAGAGAGGCACGAACTGCGTCTCCACCTGTCCCCTCCATTGATCTTCCTTCCACACGTTTCTTTTCCTCATCACGCCTCCTTTTTCATCCTCTGCTTCGTGCAGCCCTGCACCCGCTTTCTCAATTACTCCTTTTTCACTCTATGACCTGTGTGATTGGACCGTCCTTATAGTACCACGCTGGATTCGGCTGCACTAGATTCCTCCCCCTCTGTGTATGTGACGTGTAGGAACCTAGGTACGTAAGCAACGGTACTCTGTCTTTTATAGTTTTATTAGAGAAACGCCAGGTGGCGCTTTGTATTAGTTTAGGGGCCTACTCGTTTGGTAAAATTTGACGTGTGAATTAGTTGAACTTAAACGACGATTCCAATTCCTTTTCTTTTTAGAGGTAAATTTTATATGATTTGACTAGCTGCGACAAAGGAATTGGTACCTACAGCCTACAGGTGTTCACTCCTTTCAAGTTAAACCAAAACACCAAGAACGCGTGGATGAATGAATGGCTTTTCATTCAATGTACTATGATGAATCCTTGGATTAGTATTTAATTAAAATTAAGTAGAAAAAGTAATACAGTACTATTGAATATTGATGATGAAAGAGGTTTAAAATTACTTGAAGCCAGGTAGGAGGTATCTGCTTTTGTGATAACACGTGGGTGGAAGGCAGCAACGCCAATGAAGTGCAGTGAATGATTGATTGGTGCTTTCCACGAGTCTTGGGGTGGGAGAGGGAAACCCCCCAAGACAAGGACCTCGAAGGCAGAGATTCCATTCCCTCCCTCTCCAATGACGGATATACCCCTCACCCCTCACCCCTTATCATTTTCTTTTTCAAATAATGCTCCATCATCATATCGTGGGACGACACACAGACCTTGGATCTGTGTCAACCCATGCCTTTTTTAACCCATAATCATTTTCAATATTACTACTTTCTGACCAATATTATCAACTAATAATGTCTCACTCTCACACAACTCAATTACCTTCTTCCATCAATATTTATCAGATTAAATAATTATTACTAGCTAAAACACTAGAGCCTGATTTTCATATATGCAAATAATTTATACAAGTTAATAAAAAAAATTTATCATATTATTCTTTACATTACTAGTAGATATTATTTTCTCAAAAATCAGCATACACTTTTCTTTTTCAAAGCACAAAAAAAAAACTGTATATTTTTTAAATGGATTAATTTGTAACTACTTTTTTATTCATGCAATATTATGGGAAAATATTTTTCGTAATAATGAATATTGTCGCAACATCTGTCGCAACCGAAATCGCGACGGGAC